CTCCGTGCATTGCGGGTGGTGGGACTGTGCTGGGCGCCTCTTCTGGAGCTGAATTTCTGCAGACTCAGACTCTCAGTAGACTGTCGAATCGCCCAGAGGTGACATCAGCAAGCTCAGCGCCCTCGCTGGCTCCAGCGAGGTACGTAGGGCATGGCTGGACAGCAACACCAATCGGCTCCCAAACCCTTATGAAGCCCTACAGTATTAACTTTGGTAAGCCTTTCCGGCACTCTAAGCCCTTCGAGAGGTGCTTCTCTTGCCGAACATCCGCCTTGGTGTCGGTGCGGCCCTCGGTGGAACGTACTGATGGGTCTGAGTAGCGACGCTGCCCCCCCCCCCCCCCACAGCCACCATGGAGGATTTTTCGGCGTTTGCCGGTGAGATTTTGGCAAAGGGTGCTCCCGCAGTGCGGGTGGCAATATCTGTTGAGACCACGCTGCCGCGACAAACCCACTATAGCTCAATTCAGGGGTTGCTGAATGCGCGGGATCCTTTGACAGAACCCCTTCCACCCCGCCTTACGCGCCATCCTTTCCCCCCTTCCCCCAATACGTGCATAATTCCGACTTGTCTCCCCCCCCTTCGGGGGGCCGCGTGGGCGCGCACGCGCACACACCCACATAGACTTGAAGGAGACTTGCCTTTGCAGAGCATCAAAAACCCGCAAGCTGGACTCTCTCTTCCTCTTCGGTTGGCTGCACCCATCTTGCTTGGGTTTTGAGAGCATCTCTGCAAGCCCTCAGGTCAGGAGACCGTCAAGAAGGGCATTCCCGTCATCGAGCTTCGAGAGATGGAAGAGGACTTGTGCTGTCCCCGCCAGCCTATAGGACACTTCGGCAGCTTACAGGCTGCTTCAAACACAAACGTGGGTGTTCAGCAGTACCGTAGCTAATCCGAGACCTCGCCGCTGCTGTCATGGTGCCTTGTCGGCCTTGTCTCTACAGATGTTGCGAACGTTCGAACTCGAAATCGACGGGCGATGGCGGGCTGGCGCGCAGGACACCGCCAGCACCCTGAACGCGGAAGACTTCGACTAGGCCAGCAGGGCCATCTTGGCTCTTCAGGAGTGGAGATGCTTAGGTGATCGGCTCCTCGCCTTTGGGTGCTTTGGGTGGTTTAGCCATGTTTAGACAGCCTTTTCAACTTATGTGTGCAATGTCTGGACATGGTGGATCAAGCTGCTGAACACGGCACCCAGCCAAGGAAGATAAACTCAAGCATGGAGGAACGCAGAAACGTGCACGAATTGACATCGTCCTGATCCATGCGTGACCATTGTGATATCTTTTTGACCCATTACCTTTCTCTAAGGCCGTTGCCACCCCGTGACATACGCGAAGGCCCCCCTTGTGCCCTTACCCCGTCACTAACCCCATTGCCCCGCATGCCTCCCGCGGAAGAGATCGTCTCAGTTGTCCCAGAGCTAGGAGGCGAGGAGAGCGTTGCAGACGAGAGTGGCCACTCGTCGCCCCTCAGCAAAGATGAGCCGCAGCCAGCTCGGCCAAGCGGACACGGACAGCTGAGCACGTTCAAAACCTATGTGAACTTGGTCACGGTGGTGATCGGGGCCGGGATTATGGCATTGCCACAACTGCCGCTGCGGGGTGGCTGGGTGATGTCCTCCCTGATCCTGCTGCTGGTCGTCCTGGCAGCCTCAGAGAGCGGCCTCCTCATGTGGAAGGCCTTCATGGCGAGCCGAGGGACGCTTGCCATAGCGACTTTCGAAGATTTGGGCCGGGAGGCTTTTGGCCCTCTGGGTCAGATACTTGCTGCCCTTGTCGTCAACGTCTTCCTGTTCGGCATGTACGCAGCTTATGTTGTTCTGGTCGGCATGCAGCTTGAGAATATTAGTCAGAAGGTTGTGGGCAAGCAGCTGTGGATGATGTTTCTTTACCCTGTGTTCGTGAGCCTAGCGCTGGCTCCGGACCTCTCCATCTTGTCACGACTGGTCCCTTTGGGTATGGTGGCAGCCTGCACCACGGCGGCCTTCATCATTGGCAAGTCGCTCGCAGATGCGTCTCATTGGCAGGCATGGGACAGCCAGGATATACACTCGCCCTGGCCGCAGGCCACGGCAAGTCAAAACAGCTCAAACTAGACGAAGCACGGGTGTAAAGGCTGTTTGATGCTACTAGGGTTACAGTACCTTTTACACCGACTCTGTCTTTTATTTCTTACATCTTTTGAGTTGTCGGCCGGCTGTTGGAGGAGTCCTTGTTGTCGTTGGGAATCGTCCTGGCGACATGTATCGGTGCGATGACCTTCCACCCCGTGGTCCCAGCGATCCTCCAAGACATGGAGAAGCCAAAAGAGTTTCCGCGGGCCATGTACGGAGCAGTGGTCACCTGCGGCAGCCTGTACTTGGCCGTGATGCTCTGCGGCTACCACGGCTATGGCGACTTCATTCGACAGGACATCGTGCGTTCCATGACCTACTCGCCCGGCACCTTCGAAGAAGCCTTGTCCGGTGATCCCTTGGAGTGGACCGGCGCGAGCAGCCGCTGGATGTCGCCAGTCGTCTCCAGCCTCGTGCTTGTGAACATCATGCTAAGCATCTCGGCCTGATTCACTCCAAGACACAGGCATCTGGGGGAGCTTGTTTTCACGTGCATGTGGGGAGCATTCGCGAGCAAGGCATGCCTATCATCATGATGGCGGTCTTCTACTCTGTTCAGGACTCCAAGGCATTTGCTCCTCGTGTGAAGCCTGGCTCATGGGCGAACTGGGTCATGCGCACGACGCTCGTCACGGGCCTCTTGTCCGCACGCGGCAGCGCTGATCACATCCTAACCGCACTCGGCGGCCTTGCCCAAACCCGACATGTTGTACACAGAATCGCAATTGCGAGTCCGAAAGCTCACTTATGTTCAGTTGCAAGCTCACATGGCGACCTCGCATCTGCAGTTGCCGTCGCCATTGCTGAGTGCGTGCCGCGATTCACATTAGCGCCCTGGCAGCATCTGGCCGTTCAAAGACTAGCAAAGACTGGCAAGAGGTGCCCTCAATAGTGGCGAAGACTTCCTGAGCCCCTAAACCCCTAAACCCCACCCACAACCCCGAAACCCTGAACCCTGAAACCCTGAACCCCTTAACCCTGAACCCCTTAACCCCTGAACCCCTAAACCCTAAACCCTAAAGCTGTCCTCTGTCAGCTTGAGGTCTTTGGGTCTTCTGCGCTCTGGCGGGCCCCGCTGTCTCATTGGCATTTCCACTGCTCTTCTCAGGCCGATGAAGATTTGGGCCGTGTAGGGCTGTTCGACAAATATCATCCTTGGGCCACTATGGGCTCTTAACTCGGGGTTGAAGAGAAGCCGGCCGCAGAAACAGTAACAAGCAGGAGGGTGAGGTGGAAGCCGAGAGGAGTGGTACTACGCCGTTCTGGGGTGGCGCAAAGTTGGTGGCGACAAGGGCTCCACGGTTGCTCAGATGAATGGGGCTCAGGGTCCGGATTTTAGGCCAGGCTTGCAAGGGGGAATATCAGAACAAATGGACATAAGGTTTAGCTGACCATGGGTCAGGTTTAGTGTCACCTGGTCCGGAGGTAGCCGGGTGCACAGGACATCCAAGGCTCCATCATCCTCTGAGCCTGCTCTGTGGCTCAGATGCACTTGGCGGCGGGCCCAATCGTGCAGCACCTACCCTTATTTGTTTATCAGCCTGAACCCCATGTTCGTAACTTTGTCGTCCGGGGTCGTCATGTCCGGGAAGGAATTGTGGTCGTGTGCCGGGGTAGCTGGAGCCGAGGTATGGTTGCAGGCATCTACACCTCCGTGATGGATATCGTGGGAACTGGCAGTGGGTGAGGATGAGGGGTTTAGGGTTTAGGGTTGAAAGTGTATAGAGTTCGTGGCCGGGAAGCAGGTCAGGATCTATGCCAGACCGGCCACACCTGCCCATGCAGAATCGAATATTGAAAGGGTTGATGTCGAATCTAGATTATGGGCCTCTTGGGTCCCCCGTTGGAATATGCTACCAGTACCATAGAGATTCTTTGGATCAGCCTCCATGTTTTATCAAAGTTCAATGTCGCCTCGGTCGCCCCTGGCCCTGTGTACAGGTTGTGGCCTCCTGGGTCCAGTTTTACGGTACAGCAGATGGGCTAGCCATGCTGGCCAGCAGGTTTAGGGTGGGTTAACGGCTTAAGGGGGCTAGCATGCCTCTCAAGCAGTAGGGAACAACTGCTCTGAATGCTGACTTGACTAGCATCGCTGGCTCATCACTGGCCCATCCCAATACTTGAACTTAGCGGCAGTTCCCGGCTCGCTTTGGGGTCCTGCGGAATGCTCAAAAGCAGGGTTGCGGACGACCCCTGCCAACACAGAAGGAGCCCTCTGTCCGTGGGAACCAAGCTTTAAAGAATCTATTCCAGGCAGTTGCATGACGTTGTGGCTGCACTCGCGAGCACTCGTGCTTCCTAGCATCAGGTGTGAAAAGGTGCGGGGGCTTGCGTTGTGAATGATTGCGAATGCAAATGTCGGCCAGCAGGGACGCCGCTGCACTTAAAAACCGTGAGGAATCGTAAATTGGAGAAAGACCTTTCAACTGCAGCTGCGTGCAGGAAGGCTGCTGGACTGAGCCAAGGACGGTCGATTCTTCCGAATGCCAAGCACAAACATGGACTCCCACCTCTCGAAGTGCCGCAAGCACCAAGTGGCATTTCACCAGCCAGACCAGCCTCAAGGCCCTAACAACATACGTCATGCGTTGGACCGCCCACGCCACCCTCGAAGAGGGCACCAGGACGGGCTGTTTCACTCGGCTTGGCCGCGCGCCGCCCTGTGAAAAGATTTGAACAGTGCTCCTGTGCAGGTCGGGTTCACACATAGAGCATTACCCCGAGGTTGGGGCCATGTACGTTGCATGTATATATACACGCATACATATGTTTTTGCCCTTTCGAACCCTAAACCCTGAACCCTGAACCGGACCCTGCCCTGGACCCTGAACCCTGAACCCTGAACCCTGAACAGCATGCAGACTTCCGGGTGTTGTTGTCCGAGGGCCTGGAAAAGACGGTGCGCGGACAGGGACTGAGCTACGCCCAGGTGGCTGCTGGATTGCTCTTAAGCATCGTTGTTTATTTTCTGTGTACAGTAACCTGAGTTTCTAGAGGAACGGATGCTGTTTTGGCTGCGTCCTAAATGAAAGTCAAGGCCGTGTCGGAGGAGGCTGCCGCGGAGGGCGGGGGATGGTGTTGATTGATTGTTCAGGGCCTTCGGCCATGTGTTTCGCTTTGCAGGTCTCGACCGATTGAAGGCTGTGGTCGTTCTGAACTTTTCGGCAGGTTTTTCGTAGTCTGGCCTGGCGCCACGTTCGCAGCCCCAGCCCCAGACCTTAAAGAGCTTCGCTTTGCAGATACTGTAGGATGTGTGGGTCCAGGTGCCTTCCACGTGTGTCCCTTGACCCTCGTAGACCCTGAAGGCTTGAAGTCGGACTGGAGCACCTGGGGTGGCATGCTCCCATGGCCGGTCCAGATAAGCTCACACACATCCACTACACTGTTCAATACACTTTCGCATTCTGTCTTCATCCATCGAGTCGTGCCCTAATATGTTGCGTGCGCGCTTCCACGCCAAGACCCTGAGCCCCGTCGGCACCCGATCCTTCGAACTTTCGCTGGCGCGAGGCCGGCGCCCCTCTGAGTCCAGCGGACCTTGCGGCTGCGTTGCGCACGCTGCGAGCGCCGAAAGCTCAACTGTTGGGGATCTAGGGATCATGAGGGATTCCGGGGTGCCCAGCGGTTTTTGGGTTGTTAGGGCGCTAGGCGAGGTTCAGGAGCGTGATAGATTCAGGACTTCTTATGTTTGAACATGAAAAACTTTATGGTTTGAGGATGTTGACTCTAGCTTGAGCAGGATGGTCAATGGACAAGCACCTGCAGTCTATGTGTTGGTTCAGTTGTTTAGCTCTAGCTTTGCGAGCAAAGAGAACAAACACATGCAAACACCTCGCCGCATTTTTCGCATGACCAGAAAACCTCGAGAGTTCCACGGCACAAAGTGATCCTGACAAACAGTTGCCGAAAAAGAGCCGCTCTGGGGGGCTCGCGCTAGTTAGCATTCGACATTCCGGGGACCGGGTTGAGGAGAATGGATGGGGTTCAGATCTAACAGCCCCACACCGAGGACCAGACAGAAACCCTGAAGCCCACACTGCTGAAGAGCGCAAGCTTGCTCATGATTTGCCCGCACCTACCTCGAGCTTCGAGAGGGATGTTCCACAGGGGTGCAGCTGCTTTAATGGTTGTGGGTTTAGGATGCCAGGTTGAAGCCGAGCGAGGAGAGCGTCGTCATCATTTGCCGTGACGGAGCCTCGTGTGCCTGCACTCGGCGTGTGGAAAGTGCCTGCAGATCAGACGGTGGACTATAGAAGACAGAGGGGTGAAGCTGATAGTAGCTTGATCAGGCCCACATATAGTCCAATCGTGAGGACGCTCGGTTGCAGCAGCGGTTGCTGCCTCCTGGCTGATCTTGGAGTGCGGCCAGGCAGACGGGCTTCGGAGCTCGGCCTGTGCCTCCCTAGAAGTTCAAAGGTCAAAGAAATCATGGGCGTCAAGTTTTCGAGAGGCCATGGACACGGCGCTTTCTGCTGTCGCAGACTCCGCGCAGAAGGCACAGGCCTCAGCGCAAGAAGGGTTTTACAACCCCCCCAACACTCCCCAAAAGCCCTTCCAACATGTTCGACGCTCCGAGGCTGGCGCCTGGAGGACACCGCTAGAAGCCTTCGAAAACAGCCGCGAGGCCCTCTTGGGACGCAACGCCTGGAGCTATCTTGAGCCTCTTTTCCAGAGTTGTGCAGGCCTTCTCGGCGGCCCTCGCCGCAGCCAATACTTGAGCGCGGGAAAATGAAAAGGCTCAACGGGGTGCCGCGATACGCCGTGCGCAAGTGCTCCGGAAAGTTGCACGAGCAATCGCCTGACCCATGTACCCTCCCGATTCCCTGAACCATGCTGCTGTGGTACTACCACATCTCGACCAATGATGAAGTGCCTCTTCTTAAACATTTCAAAGGACATCAGAAGATCCGTTGGGCTTGCTGAAGGGCCAGGGTCCGGGTGGCGGCACGAACCGCTGCGCGACGCAGTTTGGATTTGAGTTGTTCCGTGCGTGACTGCAGCCCGTTGCGTCAGGATAGGGTGGGGTGGGCATGGTGGGCTCCCTGGTTTAAGAAGCTTTGGTTTCATCCTTCACTGTGTGCAGGCACTGCAAGATGGAGGCCGCAGCTCCTCCTCCGTTGGAGGGGCCGTCCGAAACTCTGGCGGATGCACACGAAGTCATTGATGGCCTCTTTGTGGGAAGTGCCGATGCGGCAGTTGAAGCGACAACAGGGCCAAACTCCCGGCAGATTGGCTACATTCTCGATGTGGCGGGCTGCGTCACCCCGGCCATCTTCTCCGCTCTGGCCAGCGCGTTGGCTGATGAGGCGTTGGAGTCATCGGAGGCATCTGCCGTGGAAGAGCAGCCACCGCCGATGACCCGCAGGTCCTGGCGGTCGCAGGTCTATCTCCTCAATGGCGTTGAGACCCTCTCCGTCCCTTTGGACGATCATGGTCGAACCCAGCTCTCCGAGGACTGAAAGCCCATGAAAGCACTCAGACCAGGATCGCAATGGTCACTACATTGCTACATGGCGGTTCATGAGAGATGTCTTGGAGACCCCGATCTGCAAAGGAGCTGCAGCAGAGTTGGTTCGACTTCATCGAATCCGGCCTGGCTCGTGGAAAGGCAAGGGAGAAGAGTTTGTGTTGTTGTCTTGTTGTTTTTTTTGGGGGGGAATACTACAAGTTTACACTCGTTTCCCACACATTCACAATTTACAATCATTCACACCTCAAAAGGGGCCCTGGATGCCATTTTGGGGCATCCTTGGGCCTTGGAGAGGTGCTGGTCCATTGCCGCCTGGGCGTGAACCGGAGTGTCACCGTGGTGGCGGCCTTCCTCGTGAGGCGCCGGGGCTTCGCCCCAGACGAGGCCCTGGAGCTGTTGTCGCAAAGGCGGCCCTGTGCGGACCCGGTGTCTGCATACCGCGAGCAGCTGCGGGCACTTCAGCCCCTTAGCATTGGGCGCACTGGCCCGGATGGCGCAAAGTGAAGCTTCTGATCCAGCAAGGCAGCTGTTGCCTGTTGCTACCGAAGGGTCCGACAAAGTGCCTTGCAACCAAATGTTTAACTGTTTCTCATGCTGATGAGGCTGCAGGTGTTTAGTCTATGTTAGTTGAACATAGTTGAACCCAACCAATCAGTCCACCCACTCCACGGTTATGTACCACAAGCCCAAACTGGGAAACAGGAAGACTTGGGGGGGAGGGTTGGGGCAAGTTCCGAAAGATCACCAAAGATCACCCAAGGCTCGCCATGGTCGAATCGCGGCACCATGGAAACTCGCAAGATGATCAGGGAGAATTTTGCCGGGGGGCGCACCTGCACCGAGCGTT